TGGGGGGCACTGACCATCTGGGGCCTGGGGGACAATGATCATCTGGGGCCTGGAAGACACTGATCATCTGGGGCCTGGGGGACACTGATCATCTGGGGCCTGGGGGGCACTGATCATCTGGGGCCTGGGGGGCACTGATCATCTGGGGCCTGGGGGGCACTGATCATCTGGGGCCTGGGGGCACTGATCATCTGGGGCCTGGGGGACACTGATCATCTGGGGCTCGGGGGGGCACTGATCATCTTGGGCCCCTGGGGGGCACTGATCATCTGGGGCCTGGGGGACAATGATCATCTGGGGCCTGGGGGGGCACTGACCATCTGGGGCCTGGGGGACAATGATCATCTGGGGCCTGGAAGACACTGATCATCTGGGGCCTTGGGGGGCACTGATCATCTGGGGCCTGGGGGGCACTGATCATCTCTGTGTCACCTAAGGCCAGTCACTTCACGAGGTGTATATGGAAGGGTTACAACCACTTTAATTGTATGAAAAGATATATTTAAATAGACCGTCATGGAGAACTCCCGAAACATTTGTCAGCTTTTAAATCAATCATCAACGTTTGTTATTATGGCTGTTGCTTCTAACAGTTTGTGTAAGTAATATGTAACTTCTCTACAAGGGCAATAAACAGCTCTGTATGTACCCTGCTCCCCCCACAATGCTCCCCCCACAATGCTCCCCCCACAATGCTCCCCCCACAATGCTCCCCCCCCCACAATGCTCCCCCCACAATGCTCCCCCCACAATGCTCACCCCACAATGCTCACCCCCACAATGCTCCCCCCCACAATGCTCCCCCCACAGTGCTCACCCCACAATGCTCCCCCCACAGTGCTCACTTCACAGTGCTCACCCCACAATGCTCACCCCACAATGCTCCCCCCACAATGCTCCCCCCACAATGCTCATGTCACGGCCTTTCCTTTTTAGTTTTTTCTTCTTCACACAGAAAACTGCATACATTGTTCCCGCTCAGGCCAAATCCTACTCGGACCAAATCCTGCTCGGGGCCAAATCCTGCTCAGACCAAATCCTACTCGGACCAAATCCTGCTCGGGCCAAATCCTGCTGAGGCCAAATCCTGCTCAGGCCCAAATCCTGCTGAGGCCAAATCCTGCTGAGGCCAAATCCTGCTCGGCTCGGGCCAAATCCTGCTCAGGCCAAATCCTGCTCGGGCCAAATCCTGCTCAGGCCAAATCCTGCTCGGGCCAAATCCTGCTGAGGCCAAATCCTGCTCAGGCCAAATCCTGCTCAGGCCAAATCCTGCTCGGGCCAAATCCTGCTGAGGCCAAATCCTACTCGGGCCAAATCCTACTCGGGCCAAATCCTGCTGAGGCCAAATCCTGCTCAGACCAAATCCTGCTCAGGCCAAATCCTGCTGAGGCCAAATCCTACTCGGGCCAAATCCTACTCGGGCCAAATCCTGCTGAGGCCAAATCCTGCTCGGGCCAAATCCTGCTCGGACCAAATCCTGCTCGGGCCAAATCCTGCTCGGACCAAATCCTGCTCGGACCAAATCCTACTCGGACCAAATCCTGCTCGGACCAAATCCTGCTCGGGCCAAATCCTGCTCGGGCCAAATCCTACTCGGACCAAATCCTGCTCGGGCCAAATCCTACTCGGGCCAAATCCTGCTGAGGCCAAATCCTACTCGGGCCAAATCCTACTCGGGCCAAATCCTGCTGAGGCCAAATCCTACTCGGGGCCAAATCCTATTCGGGCCAAATCCTGCTGAGGCCAAATCCTGCTCAGGCCAAATCCTGCTGAGGCCAAATCCTGCTGAGGCCAAATCCTGCTCGGGCCAAATCCTGCTCAGGCCAAATCCTGCTCGGGCCAAATCCTGCTCAGGCCAAATCCTGCTCAGGCCAAATCCTGCTCGGGCCAAATCCTGCTGAGGCCAAATCCTGCTCAGGCCAAATCCTGCTCAGGCCAAATCCTGCTCGGGCCAAATCCTGCTGAGGCCAAATCCTACTCGGGCCAAATCCTACTCGGGCCAAATCCTGCTGAGGCCAAATCCTGCTCAGACCAAATCCTGCTCAGGCCAAATCCTGCTGAGGCCAAATCCTACTCGGGCCAAATCCTACTCGGGCCAAATCCTGCTGAGGCCAAATCCTGCTCGGCCAAATCCTGCTCGGGCCAAATCCTGCTCGGGCCAAATCCTGCTCGGGCCAAATCCTGCTCGGGCCAAATCCTGCTGAGGCCAAAATCCTACTCGGGCCAAATCCTACTCGGGCCAAATCCTGCTGAGGCCAAATCCTGCTCAGACCAAATCCTGCTCAGGCCAAATCCTGCTGAGGCCAAATCCTACTCGGGCCAAATCCTACTCGGGCCAAATCCTGCTGAGGCCAAATCCTGCTCGGGCCAAATCCTGCTCGGGCCAAATCCTGCTCGGGCCAAATCCTGCTCGGGCCAAATCCTGCTCGGACCAAATCCTGCTCGGACCAAATCCTACTCGGGCCAAATCCTGCTGAGGCCAAATCCTACTTGGGCCAAATCCTACTCGGGCCAAATCCTGCTGAGGCCAAATCCTACTCGGGCCAAATCCTATTCGGGCCAAATCCTGCTGAGGCCAAATCCTGCTCAGGCCAAATCCTGCTGAGGCCAAATCCTGCTGAGGCCAAATCCTGCTCGGGCCAAATCCTGCTCAGGCCAAATCCTGCTCGGGCCAAATCCTGCTCAGGCCAAATCCTGCTCAGGCCAAATCCTGCTCGGGCCAAATCCTGCTGAGGCCAAATCCTGCTCAGGCCAAATCCTGCTCAGGCCAAATCCTGCTCGGGCCAAATCCTGCTGAGGCCAAATCCTACTCGGGCCAAATCCTACTCGGGCCAAATCCTGCTGAGGCCAAATCCTGCTCAGACCAAATCCTGCTCAGGCCAAATCCTGCTGAGGCCAAATCCTACTCGGGCCAAATCCTACTCGGGCCAAATCCTGCTGAGGCCAAATCCTGCTCGGGCCAAATCCTGCTCGGGCCAAATCCTGCTCGGGCCAAATCCTGCTCGGGCCAAATCCTGCTCGGGCCAAATCCTGCTGAGGCCAAATCCTACTCGGGCCAAATCCTACTCGGGCCAAATCCTGCTGAGGCCAAATCCTGCTCAGACCAAATCCTGCTCAGGCCAAATCCTGCTGAGGCCAAATCCTACTCGGGCCAAATCCTACTCGGGCCAAATCCTGCTGAGGCCAAATCCTGCTCGGGCCAAATCCGCACATGATAGCAGTCTCGTGGGATGAACGTGGCGCAGAAGATGTTTTCATTCTCTTGCAGAAAAAGGTGCAGAAACCTCACGTCTCTGTACACGGTGTGAACGAGGACTAAATGTTTCCAGAAGCGAGTTGTTATGTAACAAAGTTTTAAAGAATAATGTTATTTCTTATAACAGGAAGAAAAATAAAAACAAATTGTATTTGCACTTTGGAAGAGTCATTTATAAGTACCTGTGAGGATGGAACCACTTGCCCCGCAGAAGCTTTTGCCCCTTCATGACCAGGTCATTTTTTTTTTTCTATTCAGCACCATGCTACTTTAACTGACAATTGCGCGGACATGTAACGCTGTATCCAAATTAAATTTTATATAAAAAAATTTTTTTCCCTCCGAGCTTTATTTTGGGGGTATTTGATCTCCACTGGGTTTTTAATAGATATAGATTTGTTACAAAACATCCAATAAAAAAAAATTGGTATTCTGAAAAAAATGATGTATTCTGGTTAAAACAAAATCCCAATAAATATATGAATTGGTTTGTGTCTACATAATGGAATTCAGCAGCAACTACAGATTCTATACTGTAATGGTGGTGCAGCGACAATAGTGTGAGGGTGATGGCGTGGTGGGCAATCTAGTGCTAAACACACTGGCTGGGAGGGACACTGACATCAATATAGTGACACTAATACAGTGATCAGACAATAATGTACACTAGTATTAATGACACGGACTGGGGGAGGGGTTATCTGTGAAGTGTCATGTGTGTCATATGTGCTGCTGTTTAGCAGGTTTTAGTTGTCAGGGAGAAGGAACACACTCTGTTCTCAGCAGTGATCTGGCTATGTCTGTAGACATGATTTGAAAGAGCCCGGTCAGCAGTTTCAGCCACACTCATTGGCTGAAACCTGTTGATTGATGTGTACTGCTTCCAATGACAGCATGGGTAGCAGGGGGTGCCAAACCCAGAAACAGGCCCATGCCTTACAGTTAGATAGCCTGGCCTGCCTGCTTGTCTGCAGCACGGAGCACAGGCGACATGCTCATGGAAAATGGAAGATCGGATAAAAACTGAAATAACACAAATAACACTTTCTTGGTCTTTTTAAGGAAATCGGTTTGCATGGATTTCACAGTAAATGGGATTTGCTGGGCGAGGACCAGAACTCAGCATTCAGAGCTGCAGAAAATATCACTTTAGTTGGCCCAACATAAATAAATGTCATTTGGAATATATTACACAGTAAACTCAACGGAAATGATTTTGTTATTTTAAATGGCAAGTCTGAGTCTTCATACAAAGCTAAGAGTTCACCTAACACAGTGTTTCTCAACTCCGGTCCTCATGGACCCCCAACAGGTTCATGTTTTCAGGATTTCCCCTCAGATGAAACAGCTGTGGTAATTACTAAGGCAGTGAAACTGATCAAATCACCTGTGCAAAATAATGGAAATCCTGAAAACATGACCTGTTAGGGGGTCCATGAGGACTGGGAGTTGAGAAACACTGATCTACAGTAAACATTTCCCAGCACTGTTCACTATTATTAGTTTTGAGTAAACTAAAGTGTACGTTCTACCTCAAACACTGAGCATCTTGTGAATGAGGAGATACAATTCCTATTATTAGTTTACTACTCTGGTTTTTTAGAGGCATGATCAGTTTCCATGCTTTATTAAGTAAGGTTTTACTCATTGGACATTTTACAGTGAGATGACCAGAGACTTGCAGACATAGTACAGGATCGGATGACCAGAGGACTGCGGACACAGTACAGGAGATGACGCAGAGACTGCGGTCACAGTACAGGAGATGACCAGAGACTGCGGACACAGTACAGGAGATGACCAGAGACTGCGGACATGCAGTACAGGAGCGAACCCATAGACTTGCAGACACAGTACTGGAGATGACCAGAGACTAGCGGAGACAGTACAGGAGATGACCAGAGACTGCGGGACAGCAGTACAGGAGATGACCAGAGACGTGCTGGCACAACAGTACAGGAGAAGACCAGAGACTGCGGACAGTACAGGAAGATGACCAGAGACTGCGGACACAGTACAGGGGTTGACAGAGACTGCGGACACAGTAACAGGAGATGACCAGAGACTCGCGGAACACAGTAACAGGATGGTCAGAGACTGCAAGACACCACAGTACAGGAGAGACCAGAGACTGCATACACAGTAAACAGGAAGATGACCAGAGACTGTGGACACAGTACAGAGGAGACCAGAAGACTGGCGGACAGTACAGAGATGACCAAGACTGCGGACATAGTACAGGGAGATGAACCAGAGACTCGGACAAAAGTAAAAGGAGAAAGACCAGAGACCCGCAGACAAAAGTACAAGGGGGATGACCAAGACTGCAGACAGAAAAGGGGATGACCCCAAACTGCGGACACCTTTCAGGAATTACCAGAACGCGGACACAGTACAGGAAGAGCCCAAAACGCGGCACATAAAAGGGGATGACCAATACTTGGGGCATTAAAAAAGATGACCAAGACTTGCGGACAGTACAGGAATGACCCCGAGACTGCGGAAAAAACAGGGGAGACCAGAACTGCAGACATCGGGGGAAAGCCCAAAAGACTGCAGACAGTACAGGAGATGACCAAGACGCGACCCAAAATACAGGAGATGACCAGGATGCGGACAAAAAGTACAGGAGAAGACCAAGAAATTCGGACACAGTACCCGGGATGACCAAGACTGCGGACACAGTACAGGAAACCAAGACTGGGAGACACAGTTTCAAAAGGGTATACCGAGACTGCAGACAAAAGTAAAAGGAGATGACCAAGACTGCGACATAGTACAGGAAGACGCAGAGACTGCGGGCCCAAAAAACAGGAGATGACCAGAGACGCGGGCACCCGTACAAAGGGGATGAAACCCGAGACTTTCAGACAAAAAAGTAAAAGGGAGACCAGGGGAAATGCAGACACAGTACGGAGATGACCAGAGACTTTTTTGGGCATAGTACAAAGGGGAAGACCAGAG